GCCTCCCAAAGGCGTGGGATTACAGGCTGAGCCACCAAGCCCGGCAATTTTTTTTTTTTTAATTGTAGAGATGAGGTCTCACCAAGTTGCCCAGACTGGTCTCGAAGCCCCAGGCTCAGGCAATCCTCTTGCCTTGGTCTCCCAAAATGCTGGGATTACAGGCTGAGCCACCACACGTGGTCAAGTCTGATACTTTTTAATTTTATGTATTTATTTATTTAGAGACAGGGTCTTGCTTTATGTCCCAATCTGGAGTACAGTGGCTTGAACATAGCCCACTGCACTGCAGTCTTGAACTCCTAGGCTTCAGTGATCCTCCTAACTCAGTCTCCCAAGTAGGTGTGACTACAGGTGTACGCCACCACACTTGGCTAATTTTTTGTTTTTGTAGAGATGGGGTCTCGCTATGTTTCCTAGACTGGTCTTGAACTCTTGGCTTGAAGCAATCCTCCTGCCTCAGCCTCCCAAAGTGCTGAGATTATAGATGTGAGCCACGGAATCCCGCCTGCCTGGCACTTTTTAGTAGGCACCCGGTAGTTCTGAAGATGGAATGACAGTCACCTGTGATAAATCCTGCCGTGAAGTAGAGCTGGCTAAGTGTGCGGGAGAAGGAGCTGGCCACCATGCCCAGGCTGGCCAGCACGCCCCCGAGCATCACAGTGGCTCGGCAGCCGAAGCGTCCCACCAGGATGCCACACAGGGGGCCTGTGGAAAGGAGACAGCCAGAAGGTGGCAGCTGGATGACAAGGTCAGGAGAAAGGAGGAAGGTGGGGGCTAGGGGAGGGCACTTCCAGCAGGAACTAGCCAAGTGGCTTCAAGGGCAAGAGCCCTGGAGCCTGCAGGCCTGTGTTCTGATCCACAAACTGGCCACAGACTGGTAAGCCCTGATCTCTCTCTCTCTGTGCCTCAGTTTCCTCCCCTACGGAGTGAGTGGTCACTCTGCGTGATGTTTGACCCCGACAAGGATCCCCTGGACTGCGTTGACTTAAGGCCGATTCCATCCGGGTGAAACAGGACTGGGTGATGACTTGAGTGGATACCCTTGCTTAGGGCCTGGTGTTGGGGGCAGGAGGGAATCCCAGGACATCTAAATTATGGTGTGTACCTTTAGACCCTGCTCTACCCGCCACCCTCATCCTCAGGAAGACTGGCTTTAGCCCTCCTGTCACCTTCCAACCTATACAGTTGGGTGGGGCCCTGGACTACTCTTCACCTCCTTCCACTGGCCCCCTAGCGTGTTCTGGAGAAAATCAGGTGGGGTACGTTCTCCCCTCCCCCATCCCTCCAGCCACCACCAAAGTCTGCACCCAGAGGTTTGGCTCTATGTGGAGAGAGGCCTGTTTTCTGCCCCCACCTCCAGCTGCTTTCCCGCCAGCCCACACTCCAAAGAGTAGATAAGAGCCAGTGGCTGCTCTTAGACTCCTCGCAGGGGCCCCATTCCCCAAGTGTCCTGTCCCTAAGTGCACAAAATGGAAGTTCTCTGAGTTACTTTCCCAAGTGCAGAGCATCCATGCAGACTGTGTGTGTGCATGGGGTACAGGCGTGCGTCTGGGAAAGACAGGGGCCGTGTGGTATGAGTCAGTGTATGAGAGTGACAGAGGAAGTGAACAGCCCTTCCTCAGAGATAATCAAGTGGAGGCTAGTGCCCTGTTGTCTGTGCTGCTGCAGAGGGAGAGACAAGGCATTGGAGAAAACATGACCACTGACCCACCCCTGAGGCCTGACTAGGGAAGGTGACATTGGGGAGAGCCCTGAGTCATGGAGTTGGGGGTAGGGGCTGGGATGTGAGCCAGCTGCATAGCTGAAGGTGATGGTGGGGTCAGGAGGCAGGGTGTTTCCACTGCAGGGGCCCAAATTCCCCAAGAACTCACTCTGCACCTTGGCCAGGTCTTGAACTTTGTGTGCCTGCTTACTTTCCTCACCTCTAACCTGTGTGGGGGCAGGGATGCTGGAAAGGATCAATGACTCATTAGACTTTAAAATCTTCACAATAAGCCAGCTCGGTGGCTCAGCCTGTAATCCCACGCCTGTGGAGGCTGAGGTGAGTGGATTGCCTGAGCCCGTGGGTTCGAGACCCGCCTGGGCAACTTGGCGAGACCTCATCTCTACAATAAATCAAAAA